CCACATAAGATATTTAATGATTCTTGTGCTGCCAGTAGTAATATTAACCATATATAATAAGTATAATATATATGTCAGGCATTTGATAGTTTTTTACTTCAGCCCAGTGAGGTAGAAAAAATATAAAACTAATGCTAAAAACTGTAATTAAGGAACTGTGAGATTTTGAAATCATCCATTTGTTTTTTAATGTTTACAAGATTAATATACTAACATTTGAAGTAAACTGCAAAGTAAGATTTATGGTAATAAAACAGTAACCAAATTTTAAAATAAAACCTATGTTCTAATTCCCTGCCTGTTATTTCACAAACCACTTTCTTGCGAGTCTGCACCCCTAATCCCTGTTGCCACTTCAACCCGCAGGTTGTGCGGGAAGGCGGAAATGTAGGTGCGTGTGCTTCGCGTGGAGCAAGGAGGTGTCTTTCAGGCTTTCCTGTTAGGACGTGGACAGAGCCACGCCTTTCCCGTGGCTCCTGCCTTCTGGAGAACGCAAGCGCTCCGTGGTCGTGTTTACCCCCCACTTTGCAGGCAGCTGCTGAGTGGTGCAGGGCTGTGTCTTGGGACCTGCCCTGTGCCTAGTGAAAGCGAGTGGAAGTGCCCTCCCCGCAGTAGCACGGCCCTCATGGCCTCTGAGCTGACCAGAATCAGAAAAGAGCTTCATGGGCTCTTTCTCATGTTCTTTTGGCTTAAAAAAATGGTGAATCTTGAAGGAGAAATGTAGTCCTGCAATGTGTCTTCCAAAAGCAAGTTTATCATTTGCTTTTAGGAAAGTGGAATTTTTCTGGAGAAATAATTTTTTATTTCTGGGGGCTGCGTATAAGCTCCTGTTCTCACTTGTACAGCTGCCCGCAATGTGTTGATGTTGGCAAGCCCTCTAACTCTGGTCCTGTGTCTAGGTGACCCTGCGGTCTGGGCTGGGCTGATGGCAGCCTGTCATGCAGATGACAAACTGGCTCTTGTGAACGACACCCCGCCAAAGAAGACGGATTTATACTTGGAGCTGTTATCTGCTGTCTCTGCTTCAAGTAAGTTGTAAGAAACATTTCTATAGATGATTTTAATCCGGCTCTTAACATGATTAAGTCAGGAACACAATAACTTCACTGTATATTGTTACAAAAATGTATTCGTTAAGGAGTTCATGCATGTATAGCTCTACAGAAATGTGACACATACTCTGTATATTTTTCTTTCCCTCCATCTTAGAATTACAATTTGTTCTGTGAGCTGAAATCTTTACTGTATAGCCATTTCCATGCTTGGAGACTTGATTGCACTTGGGTTTGAGCTGACCTAGAAGAGTCTACTGAAACCACTGAAATTGTGCCGTGAACATCCTGGGAGTAGTGACCAGAAGGGCCATTAAACTAGTAAGGTTTAGCCAACAGTGTCTCGTAACTATGAACACTTGCACTGAAGAGTGATCTGTATTTAGCATTATGAATAGGTTAACCAATTAGCCTATTTTTGTTTTCAATGAATAGTGTTCACCTTTTTTGTTGTCGTTTTCTTGAGGCAGGATCTTGCTATGTAGTTCAGGCTGGCGTTGAACTCACTTTGTAGTCCAGGCTGGTCTCAGATTAAAGGTGATCCTCCTGCCTTGGCCTCCCAAGAGCTGGGGTTATAGGTGTGCGCCACCATGCGTGGCTCCTTATTTTTCATAAACATCATTTCTGCCTTTCTTCAGATACTACCAAAACAGGATTTTAAAAGTGGGTCTGTCTGTCTGTCTGTCTGTCTGTCTTTCTTTTTTTTTTTTTTTGTATTTTAGGGAAGAGTCTACAGGGTGTTCAGGGTCTCACTACTAGATTGGACTCATAGTGATCCTCCTGTTTACAGCCTCCCAAGAGCTGGGATTACAGTTGCATGCCACCATGCTCAGTCTCAATTGCTGTCTCAGCGCACCCTGGGGGTGGGGCTAGCAGAGCAGGCCCAGGGATCGAATCCCCTGCCCCTGCACCTGCTTGTAGACACTTTAATCCGCTGAGCTATTTGGCTGGCCCTAAATGTAGGTTTTTCTTTACTGGTGTTTTGTGTTAGAAATAGTTTAATA